ATTTATAAAAGATTGGACTGTATTTTTTTGTTGGAGTGATAAGTTTGATTTAAGTATTTGAAGTTTGCTTATCTCTTTTCTAATGAATATAGATTCTGGAAAATTCCAGTTTTACATATAGATATGTTTTGAAAGTTTATGATTTCAGAGATTATGAAGTGTTTGTTTTGACTATACTTGAATTTTTTTTACTGCAGAAATGTCTGATTTTCTGAGAGTGGTTTTCTAAGTATTTATAAAGAAAAATTGATGGTATTCTCTTCGGAAAATGTTGAGGAAATGTAGTTGCTGTATGTTTTTTAGAGCCTTGACCTGATAGATTTTCCAGTGTTTATTGAAGTTTAATGTGTTATTCTGACATGAATGTAATAACTAATAAGGGCTAAAGTTGTATTGTTGCTTTTTGTTTTTTTTACATCTGCAGCCCACATTGAATAACACCTTAGTCTATAATCATAACAAAGTCTTAGATTAGTTTTGTTACAGTGCCCATTCAGAATAACTAATTTGGTGGCAAGAGAAAGAGTATGTTGAGTTAGTGGTTTTTAGAGTTAAGTTTTAGGGGCTATAATTTTTATAAATAAAATTTTTTTCTATTAAAACTGTTAGCTGTATCTTTGTAAATTTACTGGGAAGGAGAGATTTATTAAGGATTAATGAGTATCCTATTTGGTGATGGTTTTCTTTCTCTTTACAAGTTAAATAAGTTGGCATACCAATTTTTATTTTATTTTTTAAATTAAGGTACCATTAAAACAACTTGCTTCCCTGTATGTATACCTGATGTTCTCCTTACACTGTCCTTAGGATGGTAAGAAGTAGTATTAAGTTTATTGAAATAGATCCTGAAAAAGGAGAGATTAGTGATTGTCTTGTGTGTCTTCTTACTCCTTTTTTACTTTGCAAAGCAGTGTTTAGTTTGATTGGATTTAGTTGATTCAAATTGCCAAATGTTTTAAGCCTAAGAAATTTTCAATTTTGCATGGTTTGTAAATTTCGGAGCAAACCTTGAATAGTTTATAATTATGATTATCTGCAACTAAGTTCAGAAAACTTCTAAAAGAATGGTTACAATTTATACTCAGTATCTTAGACTATACTGTATGGCATAATTTTTGTAATAGGATATACATGTGTATAAGCAGCAATTTTAACTATCTCCTGTGGAAATTCTTTATACATTGTCACTGTCAAATTATGCACAGGAACAAGAGGAAGGAGTAGCACAAATAACTCTTTGAAAAGAAAACCTTAACAGTAAATAGATAGTTTTTCTCAATTCTAGAAGCTGGCTGTATGTGTTGGATTGTTTTAATTGACTTTTATACATTTAATAGAAGTTCATTTTAGTCATTCATATTAGAAGTAATCTTTTTCTTCTTTTTCTTCCTGACAAATTTTGCTCTGTGAAAGATAACTGTGACACATTTCAG